TTTGGGAAGCCCTAACAAATGCCTAAAGACATGATGGAACTTATATAGTAATGCTACCTTGGTGTGACATCAATGGAAGACATTCGGCCAATGAAAGGAAAAAATTTCGATCTTGTGTTCACAAAACACTGACGAGAACCTTTTGAAACAACTATAGATTTTAACTCAGAGAAACTTCTAGGACAAAAGAGATGGTTTTATGCAAAATACTAGGCTGAGGGAGAATGGCATGAAAGATGAAGATGTCATGTTACACATAACAATTAATACATGATGGAAAATAAAAATGTGCTAGTGGAGATTTATGTGCTAGAAGGATACCTACCTAAATGGACAAATTCTACAAAGCAATTATCAGACCAGCAATGGTATATCATATTGAATGTTGGACCTCCAAAGTACAACTATTACCTTCTTACAAAAACAAACCAAGATATCCCCAGATAGATGAGGATCGCAGAGATGTGGACGTCAAGATGGATATGCAGTCATACAAGATTAAACAAGATAACAAATGATCACATCTGAAAAAAAGTGCAAGTAGCACACATATTAAATGAGAAAGTCTCTTGAGATGGCTTGGTCATGTCCTACATAGACCTCCAAACGCACTGGTCAGTAGGTGTGAAACCATGCTGAAACAGGATAGATCTAAAATCACATTGAATGAAATTCTCTCTAATGACTTACGATATCTTGGAATCCATGCATACCTAGAGAAATGAGACATAAATGGAAGAAAAGATAAATACATGCAACACCAGTAAGTTTATTAATTTTTTGTCATATTACCATGTTTATTCTAGGTTCAATATTTCCTAGGAGTCAATTAGTCATGTTAGAGATTTATACATCAGTAGAGAACTTATAGAACTTCTTATTGTTATGTAATATAATGTCAGACTAAGATGAGCTTAAATGGCTACATGCAGTGAGAGTTCATGCAACTGATCCTAACTTGCTTGGGACTGAGGAGTGGTTGGTGTAAACATCAATTACTAAATTGTTGAAGATAAAACAAAATTAGATCCCAAATGCAAAAAAAAAAAAAAATGGAAAAACAAATTTGACCTGTACAACCGCAGCCGTGACTGTATCTAACAGGGAACTGGTTGTGTAACTGTTCGACTGCAGTCTGATACGCCTTGGTTCTATATCCACTGCACTTTTTGACCAGAAGGCAAAGGTAGATGAATCCGTCGCCTAAACAAGAAAAATAGGACCAGTTCATTGATGCTCTGCAAAAGTTCAAAGAGCTGGAGAAAATCCAGATCTTGGGGGAAAGTAAAGGACAAAATCCAAGGCGCATTAATGAAGTTGAGGGCATATATTATTCAGGTTCTCAATGTACAGCCAGAATCTTGAATTAGAATCCTGCTATTGAGGCTAAAATATACGACCCATGTTGCTATGAACAAAACTATCATGCAGCTTCATGCATTCTGTTAAAAGACGGTCGAAGCTGAAAACCCCAAAAATACTTCTAAAACAAGAATCTGACTGCACATTGAGCATGTAGCAATTTATGCCCTCATCCTAGCATTACCATTAAATAATGTCAACCTTCAAGTTTCAGCCCATTAAAATTATATCATAAAAAGAGTAAACTCTTTCATAGTCATATCAGGAAGGTAAAATAATAAAATTGTATTATCATCATACATGGTTGGACGTGGAGAGAAAGAACAAACACTTACCTCAAGTCTAGTTACCGTGTCAAGAGGATAAATTCTTAACATCCGGCTAGTGCTTGGGTCCAACATGCGGATTCCATCCAAGCCAATCTGGAATGCACCACAAGCAGGACTCAAAGTTAAAATGCTGCTATATGCTTGATCAATCAATAGATAGAGATTCATAACACACCAAAACATGAAGCCTATTAACAGCACAACACAGGCACATACCAAAAAGGGAAGCACCCATCTTGTTGAAGCACAAAACATAACTAGAAGATTTTACCAAAAGGATATTATATAATACTGTTTATCTTAATGGCTCAAAAATACACACAGCATATAAAAACTTCATTAGGCTAAGTGGACACTGCATCCTGAGGAGAAGTCTGTACCACTTACAGATCATGGCAGGGTTTTCAATAAAGATGACACAACATCAAGAATCAAGAATTGAGACACAAAAATGTTAGATCATGGTATGATCCAATGTCACGGCGCTACAATCTCAGATATAACAAAGCGCATGCTAATTTAGAAATTTCATAGCAAGATGCTAAGTATTATATTACAAAATCATGAACTGAAATTGGTCAAGACAGAAATCATCAAAATAAACAGAGGAGCATCAGGTAAGGCATGAAACTGGAATATGCAGATGCCTTTTGAATAGGGAAGAATGTTTTCCAGGGAACATTTCCTGTAGAATATGTTTTATACGAGAAAACCACATTCAGAATCATTTCGGTTGGATACCAAATTGGTGGGAAAAGATATTGGAGTGGTATTATAAAGTTTTTGTTCATAAAGGTTTTCAAGAACATCTAAGTGTTGATTGAAATAAGTGATATGGAGTCCGAGTTCAAGAAACTAGTAAAAGAAACTGACTTCCACCCATAAGCTATGGAAGCTGTTTGCCTTTATGGTGGAACATGTTTTTCATTTTCTTTTTGATAGATTAAATGTAATTTCCAATTGTCCATAATCCTAAGAAATCAAACACACTAAGAATGATTTCTTCTAGGAAAACATATCCTAGAAAAGCATATTGCTTTATACCAAAAACCCCTGAGCTGAAATTCATCAACTGCAACTCCTATTAAGTTTCCAGTTCTATATTAAGATGCTTCATGAATGTAACTAACCAAAAACTTCCGCAAAAATAATGACAATCATCAATGACATCCAAAGTCAGTACAAAGAGACCCACCTGGCAAAGAACATCCTGGGTACTCTGTCCACCACTTTCAGCTAATAACTTCACCCTAAACTTCTGAACACCACTTTTCGCATCCTGCTGCGTATCAACCTTGGGAATTGCCTTGACGATCTTTGCAGTTGGAGCTGATGAACGTTCTTTCGGAGAATTATACCCAATTGGCCTCCCAAAATCATCAAAACTAGACGACCAAGTCGAAGACTTTGAACCAGTCCCTCGTGCCCCATAAGGCTCTACTTTACTACCCTGATAAGCAAACACCCCATCGCCATAACCATCATTACCATATCCACTTTCAGCTCGTTTCCCATAAGTATCTTGCCCAAATTCACCTCTCCCCGAACCATAATTCCCATACTTATCCACAGGTTCATCAAAATACTGTCCACTTTGATCAAACTTCCCAGTATTATCATAATTTGGAGTTGAATAAACTGAAGGATACGAAGAATTCGGAGTGGTACTATGATTGTAACTAGGAGCAGCCTGGGGTTGATCGTAAGGAGGATAATAAGGTTGTTGAGGCTGAGAATGAACTGGATTTTGATAAGCTCCGTGGGATTCAAACGAAGGAAACGGAGAGGAGTGCTGAGGCTGTTGCAACGCCGGAACCGGAACCTGCGCCGGTGGTGGAGGATTGTAGGACTGTAACGGAGGTGCTGGAGCAGTGGAGAGTAAATCAGGATTTTGAGTATAATGATTCGGGTAAGAAGAGGGATATGATGAGTAATCTGAAGATGGAGGGTAAGTGGCGGCGAACGGCGGAGCAGAAGCGTATGACGGTGGTGAAGGGGTGGGGTTTGGGATCGGAGCCGGCGAGATATGGCCGGAGTTAGGGTAATTGTAATAGGGATTGGAGGTGGTGTAATCGCCTTGTTGCATTTTTTGATTCGGGAAATTCAGAGAGCTTTGAGTTTTTTTTTTTTTTCTCTCTCTTCTGATCGATGATCTTTGTTTCGTATGATTGAAGAGAAGACAGAAAAGCAATTGTGCTTGACGGGTATTTTCTTGGGCCGGACTCTTTTTTGGGCTTTTTCCTCAAATACTTGTAAAATAAGTCTTCCAATTAGGGTGTATGTACAAAATCGAAACGAAAATCAAACTAAATCGTAAATAAAATTAAATTGGAAAAATTTTTGATAAGTTATTTGGTTTGATATGATTTGGTGTTGGAAAAAAATTGATTATATTTGGGTTGGTTTGATTTTAACTTAAAAAAATTAACCCGAGACCAAACCAACTCGACATTATGTATATAATTTTAAAATTTTACCTTATACGTAAAAATACTTACTTTGATATAAATTTTAAATACCTCTTATACTTTTTCATACTTTTTATCTTTTAATATATTTATTTTATGTGTAGAAGCTAGAATTCTTAATTATCTAATAAAGATTATAGCTCATACATGTTGGTAATTATAATAAAGTTTAAATAAAAATCAAAGTAATACTAATGCAAAAAAAATCAATTCAACACTAAGAATGACAATAATATTGAATATTTAGTTTTTAGTTTTACATAGATTTAGACAATTAAAATACATAATCTAATTTTACTTTACTTTAATATTTAGTCATGTAATTAATACTTACGAAACTTATTTTAGCATTATTTAGTACTTTAAAGTATGATCAATTTCATTATGACTTATTAATTTGCAATATTTGTTTTACCCGATTTTATTATTTTTTTTGTTTGATATTTCAGTGTGTCATTAATCATATCATATTTTTAGTTTAGTTTATAAATTAAAAAATCCAACACAAATGATTTAGTTTGATATTTGAAAAACCCGAACCAATCCGATCATATACACTCATACTTCCAAATAAAGGGGATGACATAGATCTTGCAAAACCGGTAAATGCATAGCTTACAAATTGTTAATGATACATTACATAATCATCCGGTAACTTGCGAATACATAGCTCACGACCAAAGCTTAAATCATAACGGCACATCTCAATATATATTGAGTAAACAAATCTATCGCAGCACTCTTAATTATGACTCGAATTCAGCATCCAAGAGAAAATATATCGAAGAAAAGCGATGAATATCAAATCCCAGCCACAAAAACGTAGAAATTAATACGACCGTTGGGGGAAAAAGTTCAATGTATTGTATTTGGACAAAATCAGAAGTAAAATTAGCACATGAAAGTGACGAGTTTTTACACCATTGGGTAAAAAATGGTGTAAACTGCAAGTATTGTCTCAGCACACCTCAAATAGAACTTACATCCAAAAGAATAAGTTAATGTAGAATGGTAACAAGCCCACATCCAAATTTATTTTGTATCTAACTACCAAAACTTTGTGAAAGTGCACTTCTTTATATATTAATAATTTGTCACTGGCTTGGAAGTAATGTTCTTTATCGGAACTGTAATCAACTAGTGTCAAAAACTGTCCCTGAATGTGATTTGCCCATTGACCAATAGATGTCATTTAAGCTTGAATTCTAGCAGACACGCCTACTTCACTTTCCATTCGAGAGTACCAATCACCAATACGTGTGTTCTCCACCATGTCTCTACCAGATTTCAGATAGCGTATGGGTCTCAAAACGCCATATACAGCAAGATCTGCTAAGTTTGGTTTAGAGCCACCTGTTCAGATTGAAAAAGAATTAAACATATGACAAGGATTTGATGCAAAAACTATCAATTAAATCGATTTTGAGACATGGAAATTGGGACAGACCAAGAAAATCTCGGCCCTTAAGAGCATCAACCCATGTTTCTGCAGCTTCATACAGGGCTGCACGCTCATCTGTAATATTATATTTCTTCTTCAATTTCTTCGAAACAAAATACATGGCTGCAGCTCCAGCATACTTGGCAGTTATTCTCTCCGTAAAGCTGAAATTACCTGTCCTTAGTATAAAATAAGATCAGACTTGAGCTAGAGGTAAATAAAGGAAAACATAGCTCTAAAAGACACCCAGGCTTTAACTAATATGAAGGTAGACAAAGCAGAACAAGACTTGCAATCAGCCTATGTTGAACAGAGATTTTAAGGAAGCCAACCAAAACTCTACCATATATTAGCTGCTAGTATGTAGACACTGAAAAAATATTTATGAGAATCTTAGGGAATCAAGTAAAGAACTCTCTAAACTATCTGTTTAAGGACTGAGAATAAGTTCCACACTTTCTCGTATCCACTACAATCTAGGTTCTGATACTTTATCAAGCCTAACTTAAATAATACATAAGAAAAACACAGCGAGCAAGGAAGAAAACAATGGAACAAGACAAATTCAGCTAAACAGAACAACCACAAATAGTTACACACTGAGCAAGTAACACTTGCTTTTGGTCAAATTTATAGAGGACATAACCCTGGATACAAATCACAAAACAGTAGCATTCTATTTTACACGTTTTCATCTTGAATTCTTGACCAAATTTAAAATGCACAATGTCAGACAATGGATGTAATCACACTGTTCAAGTTGTAACAGAAGAAGAGATACCATCAGGCAGGACAACATCAAGTCTAGCAAAGAAGCAGCAAAGTATTACCTACATCAACTATACTTGTTTACCCCAGCTTAATTAACTGAATGCTAATAAGATGGATAAAACACTGAAAGAGACAACATTTTTTCTGGACTAATTAATGAGTCATATGCATCAAAATTTTACTGCAAAAGGTAGGATTAAAGAAAGCTAGACAATTTATTTTGAAGCCATTACTATGAAAGAAGAAAAGCACAGAATAAAATTATCATCCCAGAACATTGACAAGAGGTCACTGCAATCAAACCTTACCATGACTAGTGATGTAATCGAACGATTCAAGAGCTTCTGAGGTATTTCGGTATATGTTAGGTGATAACATGTGCACCAAGTGATCATCCACCCACCTGCATTTGTGAGAATCACGATCATTAGATAAGACCCAAGTACCTAACAAAGAGCAAAAGGCTTCAATTAAGAAACGCTAATTTTGCCACATCACTTACTGACTTGATTACTTAATTCACAAATATCATTTATCTTAAGAGGAAAACGCTATGGAAAAGTCATAAATGGAAGAAGAAGTGCATACTTGCGCCATTTGCTCTCTTCATCAGCATCAAATGTAGAATCACCAGAACGAACCTTCTCGTACAATTTATCAATAATGTCTATTATCCATAGAAAAGTGCAAAGGAAAAGTATTTAGAAGTAACCATAGAAGAGACAAGTATAAACCAGATCCTCTGTAATCCATTCTATCCATCTTTAATGCAGATATAGTTATCTTATTTTACTAACACTCCAAATGAATAGGACTTCAATTAATTTTACCAACAGTCGAGATGCATCTTGCAATTACTTGTGTAAAAAAATTAAATACTTTTGATCGCATTGTACCTGCATAATAGCTGTAAATGTATTGATGATAATAAGTACCTGATGAGTTCACCATCTGTTCACCGTCAACCAACACAACAGGCACTTTCTTATAATCAGACCACTTGAGTTCTTTTTTGCTGATGGGATTGACCTCAATGATCTTGTATGGTAAGTCATAGTAGTCGAGGAATGCTGAAAAGAAAAAAACCCAGAGTAAAGGACTATGGTGCATACCAGCTAATAATAAATAATAAAGGGCGGGAAAAAAGAAGGGATCACGGTTTTGAATCATTAACGTTAACAAGCAGGCAATACAACTATTCAGAGAGAATTTTTAAGAAAAGTCAATACACCTTCAGAAAACATTCTGTATCAAGAAATCAAAAGTATTTAGGCAACAGCAAATTCCAACCAAGAATATGAGTATACACTAAATAGTTTACTGAGATGAAGCATACTGTAGAGAGAGAGAGTAACTTCTTAGTGGGAATTAGAGATGCTGGATATATTGTTTAGGAAGATTCTAGGAATCTTGTTACCATATATTTACTATCTTATTGTGTCAAGTATCGTACATAGGTGGGAATAGGATCACTTGGTCTACTTATGGGCAATCATCCGCTCATGAGCTAGTTTGGGATTGAGTTAGGGTAAGGGTTCATCTCTTTATCATGTTATTGAAGCAGGACTATCCCAATTTATTGTTTCCAATATTCAGCGCTCCGTCCTATATTGGCCGTGCTCCAGATGTCCAGTTCTAGGTGTAGGCGTGCGGCCTGATGAGTTTCCCACATTGGTGGGGATACGATCACTTGGTCTCCCATCATGAACTAGCTTTTAAGATTGTTTAGGTCCAAAGTCTATTCTTTATCATATTGTCAATGAACCATCTCCAACTATTGACAAATCACAAATGAACTCAAATAGCTAGGTTGCACTATGGTGGATACGGAAACAAGTATGAGAGCAATAGTTCTAAATTCAATTTTCCATTTGAAAAAAAAAAGTTCTTTAGCCAAAACTAGATTCTCTTCTAGCCAAAAGTATAAGTGAAAAAAGGAAGTAAAAATCTTGTTTCGCAGAGTAGTTAAAATACAAATCCTGTGAGGTTCCAACGAAATTTCATAGTCACTTGCTCTCTTTTTCATCTTGAATTTTCTCTCTGTTATTACCGCAATCCTTGCAGCTACGTGCTAATAAATCTATAGGCTCCAGGACAAAAATAACTAGCTGCCGTTATATGTTGAGCTAAGACATTTCCAAATCATGCACATCAGCACAATTAAGTAAGTACAAATTAAACCAAACGGGCAACACAAAAATAGCTAAAAAGTGAATACCTTTAACCTTGTTACAGAAAGGACAAGCTTCATACTGATAAAGGACAAGATCTTTTGGGCGTAATTCCGGTGGCACTACTTCTTTAGCGTGAACTTCCTCGGTCAACGTGGTAGCCGCCACCGAGAAAAGCATTGTTCCAGCAACAGCATGAGCTGAGGTTCTAGCAGATAGATCCGTGAGCAAATTGTTGAATAACCAGTTAGACCTGGTAGATGATTTGTTGCTGCTCGTGCTAAACTGAGCCGCCGTAGACATCCTATGCTGTGGCACCTCCATGGCGGCTGCACCGTCGACTGCCCGGTACAAGGCGGCGATTCTACTGACTCTCCTCATTCCGGCGATCCTCTTTCCTCTTCCGAAGATCTGGAAAATGCAAACTTTTATTCTATGGGCCTTTGTGGCGATTTGTAAACAACTCAATTTTGGGTTTAGTGAGGGTTTCAAACTTTGCCACGTCAGCAGTTTAAATTGGGCCCCTGGAGCCGTCGGTTCGGGAAAAATCTCGGCCCAACTAGTCATCCCATGAAAAAAAAGGAGGGAAAAATGAAAGTAAAAGGAGGGAACCGGGGAAGGAAGTTTTCCTTTTTTATATATTTTATTACTACTATTATTTTTTTGGTTTCCACCTTTTATTCGATAGTCACATTAATTAATTTAAATTCACACGTAATAAAATTTTCCTTTACGAATGATTAAATAAATTCATTTATATATTTTTTACATTCATATACCAATGTATCGATTGTATACCAAACATATGTTACACATTTTAATATATTGAACTAATTTTTGAGCTAAATCAATTAAGCTTACTATAATTATAATTCTTTTTCATAATTATATATTTGAATCAGTTTTCACACACCATGATTAATATCATGTATCACCTCTCCCACTTACAACAAATATAAAATTACTATGTCAAGCAAAAATAAGATATATAAGAAGAAAGAACCACAATACTTAATGATTTTCACATTGTAATATATTTCCTAGATTATATATATTTAACTTTTACAATTTGCATCGCAAATTCTATTTTCTTTGATCTCAAAATTGCAAATAAAAATTCAAATCACTAGCCATGTTATACCATTAGTATTTGTTATTTTTAATTTAAACCTTCAATGTGTGAACACGTATACTAGTTGTAATAAGGGTAACTTTCACATATATGTAATATAAAATTATAACAAAGTTTACATAATTTGTTTCATAGCAAACATATATATGTATAATTCTCTAGACATATATAATTGAATGAAATGGTATAAAACGAGAAAAAGATAAATTGTATACAATTTAATTTTATATAAAACGAAAAAGAGATAAATTGTATACAATTTAATTTTATATAAAACGAGAAAGAGAAAAAGACAAAAGAGATTTTGGCAGGAAAATATTTGTATTGTATGAGCGAGAGAGATTAGGGAGAGTGGTGAGCAGGATCTGGAAAAGGAGAGAGGAGAACGAAAATATATGTGTTTATACAACTTCCTCTCGCTTTATACAAACACAAATGCATTTTATATATTTGTGTTTGTATAAAAAGCGAGAAAGGGGAGCGAGACTGCCACCAAACGAGAATGACGAGCGAAATTTCACCAAAGAAAATGACTAAAACAACTATAATTTGCTATAAATTACAATTAAATCAAAGTATCTTTATAACATTTAATTTGAATTAATAGTTATTATATATAATTTTTCCATGTAATAATTGAAAATGGGCCTTCGGCGATACTACTCATGTTTGCTAAGGAAAGGGACATTACCATAATTATAAGGAAAACCTAAGGGCAATAAGGTAAAAATAACAACGCGTTCAAAGTCGGCCACCCATCCCACTATAAATACCTGATTATGTGATACACATTTCCTTGTTTATTCATCACCGCCTCTTTCAATATTCTGTGAGAGACGCCGTAACCTAATTCTAGGGTTTCCAGAAATTTTTGATTCTGCGATTCAATCACAAGTAATCGTTTGTATCGCGCCAAATCGATCTGAAATCTGAACCATAGTGTTGTATTTTTTGCGATTTATTTTTGTTTTTTGGTAAAGAAAGGGAGGGAAGTCTCAGATCTGAAATCGAAAAGGGATTTGTCTGTGTATTGAGGATGTCTCGGTGCTTCCCATACCCACCACCTGGCTATTCGCTGAATAGATCCAGCAATGAAGCCTTGATCGAATCGATTAAGGTTTGTTGAAACAAAGAGCACTTGAATTTATGTGTTTACGCTCTTGTTGCCTGATATAATCTAGCAGGGATCTATACTCTATGTAAATCTGTAAGGAAAATTTGTGGTTTTCGTGGGTTGTGCATTGGTTGTCAACTTGGATTTAGGGTTTGTAGGATTTGATTTGCGCTGGGATAAATTGACGTTTTTGTAAGCCTTTTGTGTGGATTTATTAATTATACCTGGTTAGAAATGAGGATTAGTATATACTTTTTTGTGCTCACCTTGTGGATTTAACAGTATTTAATGAATTCTACGAGAATAGGTTATGCGAAATCTGAGCAATTTGATATCATTCTAACCTTTGGTAAAGGAGAGGTGATAAGTTTAGGCAACTTTTAGGCTTTCAATTTGTTGTTTGTGGAGGAAATCGTAATGAGAAGTTAGAAGTGTATGCAAACATTGAGGTGTTAATGTATTGTTTGAGGAAGAAGTCCAGCAGAAATTGTAGGCAAAAACCTGTGCTTGAATAGATTTTCTAACTTGTAATATACTTCTTTTTAAAAAGTAATCACTATACATCAAAGATGTTTGAGAAAAGATTTTTGGGTAAAACGAGGTGCTCTTGGAAAGTTATATTTTGGCAGATTGCTCATACAAGAACTAACCATTGTGCATAATTGAAAAGCCTTTCGAAAAAATTGTATTTCACACTACTAGTCGCAGCTATAACTACTAATTGAAGCTGTGTAGCATTATGAATATGGATGCCCTCTGCTGAATTTTGGGTCCATACCATGTTCCTTTCCTGCTGTCTCTCTGTTTCTTTCCATGGTAGAAGGTTTAAATGAGGTTCCGTCTGTGAAATTGGTTTTCTTAAGATTCCCCTGTACCCTGTCACAACTATAGAAAGTTACTATTCGGTTTAGTCCACAATGTGAGTGTTCTGTAATATGTTATTCTTTTCTACCTGCATAATTAGTGTTCGCATCACTAATACTTTGTTTGTAAGTCTTGCTTGATTTAGCTTGGTTACCACTTTTATGCAACTTCATCTATAGACCAGGGGCCAGTTCTTTGTGTTAAGTAGAATTAGGTGACTGAGATTGTGCATTCTGTCATAATGATGGAAGTATATGTTGTGAACCCAACACATGTTTGGTGCCTACACCCATGTCTGTTTGATATGATAAAAGTTCAGTGAATGATCCTCAGAATCTGAGGGATCTTAATTGTTCGTTATCCTTCTGGTCATGCTGTATTAGTCTTCTATCTCCCTCTATTCTGAACTTGTTATCCTGGTGCTCTAAAGCTCCAAAAGGAGAGGGAGGTAGCTAAAGCAGAAAAGAAGGACAGGAAGAGGGAAAAGAAAGAAAAGAAAAGAGAAGAGAAGAAGGCTAAAAAGGAGAAGAGTAATCTTGGATTTGGCAAGGCCACTCATGAGTCCAAAGGGAAGTACTTGTTCAAATGTTTCGAAGATGAACCTGAGCAGTTGGAGAGGAGCAATCTCACTGAGGAACATGAGCCTGCTGTGTGTTCACAGAATTCCAGCTGCTCATCCGACAGCACCCAGAACAGTAATAAAAGGAAGAGGCCTACTTCACCTTCACCTTCACGAGGTGGCATACAGGCGCATGGTAGTTCTTTCCCTTTATATATAATACTTACTATTTTGGTCTAGTGTTATGTTTTATCTGTTGCTAATCTGAAGTTTTGCTGCTCGACAATAGGTAGCATTATCAGAATTAGATTGTCTAAAAAGGGTGTGCAAGGTGAAATATCAGTATCCAAAGAGAAGCACTTGCCAAAACCTGCTCAACAAGTTGCGGAAGTTACTGTCAGGACATCTGCCGAAAGAGCCAACCCTTTGTTGAAAACTACAAACAAACGAAGTTGTCCTCCTCCTGTAGCAGTTTCAGAGCCAAGTACATCCAATTGTGGGTGGGTTGACCGTGTGGCTGAAGACAACGCAACTCCATCTTGTTCCAAAGTGCACGAGAACAGCATAGAGTTTCAGTACAAGAATTTGATTGAGAACTGGCTTCCACCAAGTCTGCCAAGTGATAATCTAGATTTGGAGGATGATCAATCATGGCTGTTTCAAAGAAAACCTAAGCAAGCTCGAGTTGAGGAAAAAAACTTAGGCGGCGGTGACAAAACTTGTGGAAGCTGCAGTTCATTGTGGCAGCAGCCACGGGCACAATACCTTCCTGATGTTGAGTTGTATGCATTGCCCTACACAGTTCCTTTTTGAATCACATAACCGTGTGTATAGAAGATGTTTTAGCTGGATATACTGCTCAGGGAATTTTGTAGCTCTTCTCTGGGAACTGATGTAGTTTGAACAGGATTTAGGCGCGATGACAAAAATGTTCTTTTTTATTTTTTAGCTGCCAGTTGCTATCTTCAGAAATCCATTGTTCTACATCAATGAAAATGATCAATATAGTATTGGATATTTTCTTTCTCAAATACTCGTTTATTGGATACTTGTGTTATTCTGTGTTATATCTTTATTCATTTGGTTCACTTCACATTTGAAACCATATCATTGGTGTGAACATTTAGTGGCTTTTGCATTTCTTATTTAAATCCATATCTGCTGGGAATAAGGTTTACAAATACTTCAATTTAGATATATGCGTATAACAAATGTGTTCAATCTTGTATTAAAGTGGTTTTCTTGTTTATAGTCAAAGGTCTCCTACTATTGTAAAGAGGGATGTCACTTGAGTTTATGAAAAGAATTTGAATTTTTTTTCTTCACGAGTGTCGGTATGAAACGTTTATGCGAATCGTCTGATAAAAGTGTAGTTGAGTTTTCTGAGGACATCATATTGAAATATTACATCGTTTGCCTTCAAAATCTCTTGCAAAGTTTGAATGTGTGAGTAAGCATTGGCGGAGATGTATTGCTGATCCATCTTTGGTTTATAGTTGTCGTTCTCAACGATGGAGTCCTCACCGCTACATGATAGGTTTCTTTTGTCAAAGTAGAGTTTTGATTCAAGAAAATAATTTTTTCTTTTCGTCTACTAAATCATCACAAATGATTGATGGTGGTTTAGAAAAGTGTCAATTTTCTTTGGCAGGGGATTGTATATTATTGCATCCTCTAATGGGCTGAGGATTTAAAATATCAGAGGGTTTATTGTGTTTATAATCCATTTGGCAGCAATTTTCAGTGCAAATCATGTCCTCCATGACCCTTCCTGCTACTGGATTTCATTGT